ATTTTAGTTCTCACGCTTTTTATATACATATGTGCGTAAGATTATGTATCAAATCATACACATTACTGAATATCAATCTCATTTTTTTTGCAGAAATACTTTTGTCTTTTTTCCACAAACGTAAATCCAATTGCATTTTTTTTATCATTAATGTCTCATTGGAAATTAATTGCGCACTTATTAAATTCTTTAATTACGCACTTTACTTATGATCATCTTACTTGGTAACATTCGATTTATTCTCGAATTAAAAGTTGATATAGTAAGACGTGTTTTAAAATCTATAATGATTAAAGTGTGACAAAGTTAAAAATTTTTCCATGTGGAGTTTTGACAATTATATAATATTTTATAATAATTTAATCTATATCCACATATATCCCGATCTCAAAAGTAAGTCTTCCTAAATATACTATTCACATTATTTAGAGGTAATTCATCAGAGAATTTTTTATTATTTAGGACAAATTTATACCAAATTTCATAAATTGGAGATTTTCCTCCAAAATCCAAATACATATCACAAAAGGACCACGTGTGAGTCCACCTAACTAAGGTGAAATTCCATACAATTCCTAATAGCAACATATTAAACCTCCAAGTAAATAATATTTTGACTATTGGTATCACAGTGACAGAGTTTACTCCTTAACATCAATATTGATACCTCATGATCCACGTGGCCAATAATATTAACCAACATTAAGTCAGGAACTACACAATTCCGGGAGAAAACCAATGCCTTCAATTTATTAAATACTAAATATTACTATTAATGGAAATCACATGCTGAATAGTCCAAAATTACTCATAAATTTATCATAAAAGGAAAAACTTAACCTAAATTCCTAGAATTGAATATTTAACTTCAATTTGCAAAGAAAATCACATTGTTAATCCAAAAAAATTAATCTTAAATTGTCTAGAAAATTTAATTGAATTACATTAACAATTATTACACCTAGAAATTTCCTAAAAACAGAAAAAGTTCCTAAAAATCTAAATTGGCCTAAATATGTACATTAAAATACCTTAAATCTATACTGCTCTTCAAATTTGTTAAAAGTTATTAAAACACTTACTAATTATATTGCACATTCAAATATTTCTAAAAACCTAATCTAAATTGCATCTAAATTTATATAAAAATTACTAAAACTCTTCTTAAAATCTATTAAAACTACTTAAAATTAACATAATGTCTTTAAATTAAACATTGTTGCAAATTTCTTGAACTTATAGTAATTCTTAACATTTATATCCAATTTATATTATAAGTATTTTTTTCTAAAAACTCTTGTTAAAATTTATCAATTAAACTAAATTTAAATCGAATGTAAAATTATAGATTATAATTATTATACTTGAATTTAGAAACCAAATTATAAATTAATTTAACCGTATTAAAGCGTTAATCTAAATTATATTTCCTATTAATCTAAATTCAAAAGCATAAATGTAAATATTTAATTTTAATTTTCATACTTTGATACCATGGAAAAAAGTGTTAAATGGAATCTACTAACATTTTTTCATTAGTGTATTAAAATATCTTTTGCTTATTTTTATCGTACTCTATTTTTTTGTCACTTTAATTATTTTAATTCATGTTTATTTTTCATTCATAATCTCAAAATCATTGTAATGTATTTTTAAATATTAATAACAACAACAACTTCATCGTGTACTCCTGATTGCTGGGCCCAACATCAAAGAGACAACATGAATTGGAACATCATTACTAAATGATTTTGTGAGTAACAAGTAAAAGAATTATTATTTAAGAGTATCAATTACTTATTATATTTTATCTGTCCGTCGGTCCGTTTCAACTTTGTCCCCATGCGTATTGATTAGTAATTTTAATTTCTTTCCATTTCTTTATTACTTCTGATCATTTTCTCTTTGAGTAATGATTTTACATTCTTTCATACATATTTATGGTTGCGTAGAATATCATTATTATATATATTTTTTTTGCTTTACTTTACTTTTTTTTCAATAAATTAAATATGTTGAATTGCGTAAAATGAATCATCATTAACATTTTCTTTTTTAAATGGGAAGGATAGCCAAAACAAATTGTAAAAATATGTAAGTAAAAGTCATGTTTTATTAGGGACAGAATTAAAATTAAGGGTAATCTTTCTGTCAAGGTGTTTACAAATTGGGTGGGAGAATTGTACCCTACATGACATCTCATCTCGTCATGGTTCAGTTTGTTCTTTTCAAATATTTGTTATTCTTTTGCTAAGTATTTAGACTTATTCAAGATTTTTGCATACTCTGTGGTATTTTTAAGGCATGACATGAGTATGTTATATGCTTACGCTTTCGGGATATGGGTTAAGAGTTACTTCTACCAAATAGCTAGCAGGGAACATCATCTTCATGCCACTTAACCACTATTGTCCATTTCGGTTAAAAAAATGTAAAAGCCAACAATTTTTATTATTAACAAATACTCGCCGAGCGTAACAATCTCGACTATAGATTAGTGTACAGTCTCGACTTTAGATTGGTCTATAGTCTCGACTATAGATTATTAGTCTATAGTCTCGTCTATAGATTAGTCTATAGTCTCGACTATAGATTAGTCTATAGTATCGACTATAGATTAGTCTATAGTCTCGACTATAGATTAGTCTATAGTCTCGACTATAGATTAGTCTATAGTCTCGACTATAGATTAGTCTATAATCTCGGCTATAAATTTATCTATAATCCCGACTTTAGATTTTTCTATAGTCTATAGTCTTGACTATGGATAGTCGCGACTATAGAATAGTCTATAGTCTCGATTGTAGATTAGTCTATAGTCTCGACTATGGATTAGTCTATAGTCTCGACTATAGATTAGTCTATAGTCTCGTATATAGATTAGTCTCAAGTCTCGACTATAGATTAGTCTATAGTCTCAACTATGGATTAATCTATAGTCTCGACTATAGATTAGTCTATAGTCTCGACTAAAGATTAGTCTATAGTCTCGACTATAGATTAGTCTATAGTCTCGACTATAGATTAGTCAATAGTTTCGACTATAAATTATTCTATAGTCCTGACTATAGATTAGTCTATAGTCCAGACTATGGATTAGTCTATAGTCCAGACTATGGATTAGTCTATAGTCTTGACTATAGATTAGTCTATAGTCTCGACTATAGATTAGTCTATAGTCTCGACTAAAGATTAGTCTATAGTCTCGACTATAGATTAGTCTATAGTCTCGACTATAGATTAGTCTATAGTCTCGACTATAGATTAATCTATAGTCTCGACTATAGATTAGTCTATAGTCCCGACTATAGATTAGTCTATAGTCTTGACTATGGATTAGTCTATAGTCTTGACTATGGATTAGTTTATAGTCGCGACTATAGATTAGTCTATAGTCTCGACTATAGATTAGTCTATAGTCTCGACTATAGTTTAGTCTATAGTCTCGACTATAGATTAGTCTATAATCTCGACTATAGATTAGTCTATAGTCTCGACTATAGATTAGTCTATAGTCTCGACTATAGATTAGTCTATAGTCTCGACTATAGTTTAGTCTATAGTCTCGACTATAGATTAGTCTATAGTCGCGACTATAGATTAGTCTATAGTCCCGACTATAGATTAGTCTATAGTCTCGACTATAGATTAGTCTATAATCTCGACTATAGATTAGTCTATAGTCTCGACTATAGATTAGTCTATAGTCTCGACTATAGATTAGTCTATAGTCTCGACTATAGTTTAGTCTATAGTCTCGACTATAGATTAGTCTATAGTCGCGACTATAGATTAGTCTATAGTCCTGACTATAGATTAGTCTATAGTCCAGACTATGGATTAGTCTATAGTCCAGACTATGGATTAGTCTATAGTCTTGACTATAGATTAGTCTATAGTCTCGACTATAGATTAGTCTATAGTCTCGACTATAGATTAGTCTATAGTCTCGACTAAAGATTAGTCTATAGTCTCGACTATAGATTAGTCTATAGTCTCGACTATAGATTAGTCTATAGTCTCGACTATAGATTAGTCTATAGTCGCGACTATAGATTAGTCTATAGTCCCGACTATAGATTAGTCTATAGTCTCGACTATAGATTAGTCTATAATCTCGACTATGGATTAGTTTATAGTCGCGACTATAGATTAGTCTATAGTCTCGACTATAGATTAGTCTATAGTCTCGACTATAGTTTAGTCTATAGTCTCGACTATAGATTAGTCTATAATCTCGACTATAGATTAGTCTATAGTCTCGACTATAGATTAGTCTATAGTCTCGACTATAGATTAGTCTATAGTCTCGACTATAGTTTAGTCTATAGTCTCGACTATAGATTAGTCTATAGTCTCGACTATAGATTAGTCTATAGTCTCGACTTTAGATTGTTCTATAGTCTCGACTATAGATTAGTCTGTAGTCTCGACTATAGATTAGTTTATAGTATCGACTATAGATTAGTCTATAGTCTCCACTATAGATTAGTCTATAGTCTCCACTATAGATTAGTCTATAGTCTCGACAATAGATTAGTCTATAGTCTTGACTATAGATAAGACTATAGACTCGACTATAGATTAGTCTATAGTCCCGACTATAGATAAGACTATAGACTCGACTATAGATTAGTCTACAGTCCCGACTATAGATTAGTCAATAGTCTCGACTATATATTAGATTAGTCTATAGTCTCGACTATAGATTAGTCTATAGTCTCGACTATATATTAGTCTATAGTCTCGACTATAGATTAGTCTATAGTCTCGACTATAGATTAGTCTATAGTCTCGACTGTAGATTAGTCTATAGTCTCGACTATAGATTAGTCTATAGTCTCGACTATAGATTAGACTATAGATTAGTCTATAGTCGCGACTATAGCTTCTGCAATAAGGTCAACAATGTATATATTTCTCTATAGTCTCGACTATAGAACCAAATCAATGTTATAAAATTTTTCTAAAATAAAACCACAAAAATGTTTAATTTTCCTGATTAACTTATTTCTGGCGGTATATTTCTTGAATATCTTTGTAACTTTAACTCTAAACATTCTTTGGGATGGACATTTTTACGATGAGCATGCATATTACCATTCGAATTGAATGTCTTTGGACACCAGGGACATGTATATAATGTTGCGCCCGTATGTTGTGAAGCTATATGTTCCTAAAGTTAAAGTACAGCAGTTTAAGAAAACGTTTCAATTCAAAGATGCAGGATTTTGAAAAAATGTACCTTAAGAGTTTCTGGCCTACGAAAAGCTTTTCCACACATAGTGCATTTATGATCACAGCCCCTTTCATGCATAGTATTAATGTGTTTCTTAAGGGCCCTAGCTGTGGGTGATATTTTGTGACATATAGGACAGGGATGGTCCTGTTTACCACCCACTGGATGTTGCGATTCTTTGTGCAACTTTAGGCTCCTTTCACTAATCAAACGTAAACCACAAACATCACAATTTATAACTGGTGTTGGAATGCCTTCATGTTTGTTCATATGAGTTTTGTACTCAGTGCTGGTACCCAATGTTTTGCCACAAATATAACAGACTTTGGCCTGTTTTTTTAAATGCACAACTTCGGTGTGTATTTTTAGTAAATAGGAATTGCCGTAACTGGAATAAAAATTTAAAATTGAAACACAAAGATATTTTTGTTTTATAATTTACAAAAAAAGTTAGATTACTTACAATTTACCACATTCTGTGCAGGGAAACTTTTTCTCTTCTTTGGGCAAATGTGTCAGTTTGTGAGTGCGCAAAACATAGCCTTGGGTAAAAGACTTACCACAGATGTCACAGGAATGCTTTAAAACAACATCATTTGGTCGATGTACACGCAGCTGGTGACTTTTAAAATTTTTCCGATCCGACAGAATTTTGCCGCATTGAGTACACTTAAAATAATCGGGATTCAGATGGCATTGCAAATGATCCACTAAATTATTACGTTCATAGAATTTTCGGTTGCAGCAAAGAAGATAACCTTTTCGTTCATGTTTTCTGGAGAAATGTTTTTGCATGGAGCTGAAATTTTCAAATGGAACACCGCAAAGATCACAGAACATTTGCTCAAAGTTTTCAGCTATAAATTTATCTGTTTCTTTACGATTTAAACGTTCCATCTTTTGCTTAGCCTCTTTACTTGATTCCTGGCTATTATTGTCTTCCTCTCGATCACTTGCACTATCTGAAGAATGGTGTAGTTCTGATTTTATTTCGGTTTTAGTTTTATTTATTAAATTCCTTTTATTTTTGGTTTTAATAACTACAACTTTCTCTAAAGGATCATTGTTTAATAGATTTTTTCCACTATCTAGTTTATTATTAGATTTTATACAAGTTGTCTCTTCATCTTCCAAAATCTCTTGAGCATTCGGTTCTATTAAAATTTCCGGCTCAAGACAACTAGCTGCCAAATTTTCCATAACATTTTCTTCTTTAAATTCCTTGTCAAGGTTTACTTTTCCAAAATTTATATGAGCCTCTTCTATGCGCAAATAGAATTTGTGAAAACTGTCCAATTCTTTCCAGCAGGTTAGACATAACCAAGTGCCCGTTTGTATAGTCCTCTTAAGTTAGTTTTTTTTCCCAAAAACAACACATAATATTAAATATTTCTTAGGTAAAGTGTACTGCTTACCAGTGACCAGAAATGTTTCTCTAGGATTTTTGTTATTTCAAGCTCTTGCCATCGCATTGTATTAACCTGAATAAAATCCAGGAAATCTTTATTAAATTCTAAACACAACAAACAGGAATCCATTATTTTGTTTTTTTCCCGCGAAGGTAAGAAGTATAATTGGATGCTTTAGGAGAAAAATAAAACCAGACAAATTTTGTTTACAATTTTCTAGTAAAAACAAACAAGTAGAATTTATGCAAGGTCAGTTCAGTGGCGCATGCAGTTATTCCAAAGTATATAGAGGTGTCAATTTTGACATTTAGGAGTATAAATTTTTTTCAAAAACAAAGTTGTTTACTTCAATCTTTATTTGCAAGCAATCGTGGTAGGTACTAACATAACTCCCTATTTGTAAGCGAGCATATTACGTACATACCTCCAATGTCATCAGCCTGTAAATTTGGTTTGGCAATTGTAGAAGAATCAGCTGTTTTCTTTACAATACATTGGACTTCACCTTGCATTAATTCGTTTTGCAATAAAACATCCCAGGAAAAACTTACATTGAAAAGTAATGAGTTAAAAAGCTAATAAAACCTATTTTCACTACTTCTTCATTAGTATTTTAAGTCATTATTTTAACACGGTGATGTCATTGGAGGTAAGCACTTCCATGCTCACTTACAAATCGGGAGTTAAAGAAGTACTTGCAATTTCTCTTACAAAGAAGTTGTTTAGTAAGTTGTTGTATTTTTAAATAATAAAAAAACAGCTAGAATGCGAACAATTAAATAAAATGTGCAAATAAAATGACAAAGCCGAAAATAAAGTACTTCTATATCAGATTATAAGAAAGAAAGTCATTACTAGAATACTTCTATGTAATGCAGACGGTAAGTAGTAGTCATTGAAAAGTAAGTGGTTATAGAAGTACAACCCATTACCTAGTTTTTGCCGGGTGTTGTGAATATATTGGTTAATTAAATATTGTGCCAAGAGTATCCTTCTTATTATTGGAGTTCAATCATGATTCATGAATGCAGTTATCTATCTATCTATCTATCTATCTATCTATCTATCTATCTATCTATCTATCTATCTATCTATCTATCTATCTATCTATCTATCTATCTATCTATCTATCTATCTATCTATCTATCTATCTATCTATCTATCTATCTATCTATCTATCTATCTATCTATCTATCTATCTATCTATCTATCTATCTATCTATCTATCTATCTATCTATCTATCTATCTATCTATATATCTATCTATCTATCTATCTATCTATCTATCTATCTATCTATCTATCTATCTATCTATCTATCTATCTATCTATCTATCTATCTATCTATCTATCTATCTATCTATCTATCTATCTATCTATCTATCTATCTATCTATCTATCTATCTATCTATCTATCTATCTATCTATCTATCTATCTATCTATCAATCTATCTATCTATCTATCTATCTATCTATCTATCTATCTATCTATCTATCTATCTATCTATCTATCTATCTATCTATCTATCTATCTATCTATCTATCTATCTATCTATCTATCTATCTATCTATCTATCTATCTATCTATCTATCTATCTATCTATCTATCTATCTATCTATCTATCTATCAATCTATCTATCTATCAATCTATCTATCTATCAATCTATCTATCTATCTATCTATCTATCTATCTATCTATCTATCTATCTATCTATCTATCTATCTATCTATCTATCTATCTATCTATCTATCTATCTATCTATCTATCTATCTATCTATCTATCTATCTATCTATCTATCTATCTATCTATCTATCTATCTATCTATCTATCTATCTATCTATCTATCTATCTATCTATCTATCTATCTATCTATCTATCTATCTATCTATCTATCTATCTATCTATCTATCTATCTATCTATCTATCTATCTATCTATCTATCTATCTATCTATCTATCTATCTATCTATCTATCTATCTATCTATCTATCTATCTATCTATCTATCTATCTATCTATCTATCTATCTATCTATCTATCTATCTATCTATCTATCTATCTATCTATCTATCTATCTATCTATCTATCTATCTATCTATCTATCTATCTATCTATCTATCTATCTATCTATCTATCTATCTATCTATCTATCTATCTATCTATCTATCTATCTATCTATCTATCTATCTATCTATCTATCTATCTATCTATCTATCTATCTATCTATCTATCTATCTATCTATCTATCTATCTATCTATCTATCTATCTATCTATCTATCTATCTATCTATCTATCTATCTATCTATCTATCTATCTATCTATCTATCTATCTATCTATCTATCTATCTGTTAATATCAGTTCCTGTAATCCAAATTTGCAAAAATTTATCAACCTTAGGTTTATGTTCGAAAATTCGAAATCAAACTATTTCTTTTATAATTTCTGCATAAAAACCATTTTTATTCCAATAGATTTTTATTGTTTAAACAAGTTCCCGCTGTCCAAACTGGCTGAAATTACAGCAATCAATAATAATACAATATTATGCTCAAATAATCGAAATTAAGTTCGAAATTCGAAATAACGTTAAAAAAACATTTTAATCTCTAAAGCATGTGTATTCGTTATAAAATTATAATGTTAGTTCTTTTTGAGATCAGTTTCTTTCATTTCTTGATTTCAAACTTTAAAATTTTATTGCGTTCTTGCTACTCTCTTCACATATTGCACTCGATTTGAAACATCTTACAAAACTTTGTGAACAATTCATTTTTGTAATGAAATTCTTTTAAGAATTCTCGCATGAGTTTAAAACCGTAACTCCTGAAACTGCTGGCAAATTTCCTGAATACTTTTGCATTTTTGCTTCTTCCCATTCTTTGGGATGCATTTTTTTGCGATGAGCATGCATATTGCCATTTGAATTAAATGTCTTCGGACACCAAGAACATGTATATAAAGTTGTTCCGGTATGTGAAGCCATATGTTCCTGCAAAACAAGAATAATCTTGAAAAATTCTGTTTTACTATTATCTAAAAATGTTTACCCTTAAATTTTCTGTCCTCTTAAAGGCTTTTTCGCAAATGGTGCATTTATGATCGTAACCTTTTTCATGCATAGTATTAATATGCTTGCGTAAAGCTCTCTGGGTGGGTGATACTTTTTGACAAACGGGACAGGGATGATCTTGTTTGCCACCCACTGGATGTTGGCTTTCTTTATGGCGTTTTAAACCTCTATCGCTGGTCAAACGTAAGCCACAGATATCACAATTTATAATCGGTTGGGGTATGCCTTCATGTTTGTCCATATGCAATTTATACTCGGTACTAGTACTTATAGACTTACCGCAAATATAACAGATTTTAACGAATTTTTTTAAATGCACCACTTGTATGTGTTGATTTAAGAGATAAGAACTGGCATAACTAAAAAAAAATTGTTAGCATTCATTTAGAAATATTTCAAAACAAAGTAATATAACTTACAATTTGCCACATTGTGTGCAGGGAAACTTCTTTTCCTCTTCGGGCAAATGTTTCATTTTATGCTTGGCCAATAAGGAAGCTTTAACAAAAGACTTGCCACAGGTCTCACAAACATGTTTGAGAACCACACCATTTGGCCGATGTAAACCTAGTATATGTTTTTGCAAATTTTCCCGATTGGATAGAACTTTGCTACAGTGTGGACACTTAAAATGGTCAGGATTCAAGTGAATATGTAAATGCTCTACTAAACGAGATCTTTCATAGAATTTCTTATTGCAACAAACTAGATAACCTTTTTGTTCATGCACTGTTTCAAAGTGTTTCTGCATGGCGGTAAAGCTATCAAATGAAAAGGAGTCACAAAGATCACAGAACATTTGTTTAAAATGTTTGGCTATAAATTTATCATTATCCTTGCGTCTCGTGTGATTTTTATTATCTTTAATGTTCTCGAAAGAATTTTTGCTTGGTTCATAATCGTTAGCGTCATCATTATCATCATATACACTATCCGAATTATCTTCATTGGTAGAATCATTTGGCTCGGTTTTAATTTCAGTTTCATTTTCATTTAGGCCCTTTGAAATTGATTTTCTTGTTGTTTTTGATTTTTGCCTATTTCTGTTATTCACTAGAGGATCCCCATCATAATTTTTAATCTGTTCGCAAGTTTTCTTATCCATTAAGACCTCCACAGTATTTTGATCTATTAGCATTTCCTGCTCAAGGCAAGAATACAAAAGGTTTTCATTTTCATTACTGCTCCCTTCTTCTTTGGATAGCAATTGATTTTCTTCAATTTTAATTTTGCCAAAATTAGCATGAGCATCTTCTATATGCATGTAGAATATGTTAAAAGACTCCAGTTGCTTCCAGCAAGATGTACACATCCAACAGCAGGAACTTAATTCCTACAGAGATATTTTGTATTTTTAGTTTTTTAAGCATATTTTTAGATTTATTGCTTACCATTGGCCAAAAGTGTTTTTCTAGGACTTTTGTTATATGGAGCTCTTGCCATTGTGTGGAATTGGTTTCTATGCAGCCCACTAAATTTTTATTTAATTCCAAACACAACAAGCAGGAATCCATTTTATTTGTTTACATTTAGTGAAATGTAAACAAACAAAAAAATTGTGATTTGGTATTAATGTTGTGAAAATGGCAAGTGTTTAGTAGTCGAATATTATATACATATGTATGTATGTAAGTATGTACACATGTATGCAAATCAACAAATAGGGTGCTATGGATTTATAAAATCTACTCTATTTACAAAGTCATCTTATTAGTAGGGTTCTATAGTTGAAACGAAAAGTCGACTTTTCGACTTTTCGACTTTTTGCATTTAGTTAAAAGTCGACTTTTCGACCTTTCGACTTTTTCCATTTTATGAAAAGTCGATTTTTCGACTTTTCGACCTTTTTCATTTATTTAAAAGTCGACTTTTAGACTTTTCGACTTTTAGTATTTTATAAATGGTCGACTTTTCGACTTTTTTCGACTTTTCGACTTTTTTCGACTTTTCGACTTTTTCCGACTTTTTTCGACTTTTCGACTTTTTTCGACTTTTCGACTTTTTTCGACTTTTTTCAACTTTTCGACTTTTTCCGACTTTTCGATTTTTTACGACTTTTTGACTATTTTCGACTTATTTTCGACTTTTTTCGACTATTTTTTACTTTTTTCGAGTTTTTCCTATTTTAGAGTTTTTGACCTCTTTTCCACTTTTTTAAAATTTTCGACTATTTTCGACTTTTCGACTTTTTCCGACTTTTCGACTTTTTCCGACTTTTCGACTTTTTCCGACTTTTCGACTTTTTTCGACTTTTTGACTTTCCGACTTTTCGACTTTTTTCGACTTTTATTTACAAAGTCGACTTTTCGACTTTTTTCATAGACGATAGTCGAGTTATCGACTTTTTTGGAATAAAATAGTCGACTTCGACTTTTCGACTTTTTTCGACAAAAAGTCGATTGTTCGATTATTCGAAAGTCGATTTATAGAACCCTACTTATTAGACAATGATTTGGATTTGATTTTGACAATCATTTGACTTTTCTAAAGTCGATTTATAGAACGCTGTAGCACCCTACTTTTTGATTTACATACATTTATAATATTCGATTACCAAGTAACCGACAATTTCACAATATTAATACAAAATCAGATACTGTATCTGAGATACAATTTTTGTTAGCATTTTAGGATAAATAAATAATAAAAGAATACAATAAAATGGATTCCTGTTTGTTGTGTTTGGAATTAAATAATAATTTAGTGGATTTCATAGAAACAAACTCCACACGATGGCAAGAGCTTAATATAACAAAGATCCTAGAAAAACACTTTTGGCCAATTGTAAGTACTACCTAATAGAAACAGAAATCCACTTAAAACACATAAATCTATCTACAGGATACTATGTACTCCTGCTCTAAGATGTGTTTGTCCTGCTGGAAGCAACTTGAGGATTTTAACAATTTCTACACACGAATAGAGGAGGCTCATGAAAATTTTGGCAAAATTCAAATTAAAGAAGATAAAATATCATGTAATGAAAGTGAACCCTTCTCATTTGCTTGTCTGGAACAGGAAATGGTAAAAGATCACAATACTGTTTTACCAGATAACAATGTTTACGAACAGGTGGAAGATAATTGCGATATAAGTGAAGATCTGACAAATGAGGATCAGTTACTTGAATCAAATTTTACAAATTCTAGTAATAAAGCAGATCAGAATAAAGAACAAGCTAAAATTAATGCCAATCCAAATGATTCCTCTAATTCAATCGATATGGATAGTTCATATAATAATGATACAGACAGTGATTATGAACCAGATACAAATTCCTCTGAAAATGTTAAAGATGAGGTTAACAATAAGAAAAAGGATATATTTATAAAGAAACATTTTAAACAAATACTCTGTGACCTTTGCGCTACACCACTGGAAAACTTTAGCTCCATGAGGAAACACTTCCGAAATGTGCACAAACAACGTGCTTATCTTACTTGTTGCAATATAAGATTCTATTCAAAATCTACTTTTGTAGATCATTTACATATTCACTTAAATCCTGATTATTTCAAGTGTCAACATTGTGATAAAGTTCTAGCCTATCGACAGAGTTTTGAAAAACATATGCTGATTAGACATAGATCAAAGAGCAGGCAAAAAGTGAAACATTTGAACAGCGAAGGAGATCAAAAGCATCATACAGAAAAGCATCCAGTGGGTGGCAAACAAGATCATCCCTATACAGTGTCAGGAAGGGTTCTACGCAATCATACTAAAATAAGTCATGAAGAGGAAATCGTAAAAGACCAGAATTCTTTAGTAACAGATAATAAAGTTTCAAATCATGTAGAAAATAATTGTGATATAAATGAACATGTGGTTAATAAGGATCCGTTAGAAGAAGCAAACCTCACAAACTCTAGTAATAGAGAAATAACAAAAACTACAACACAGACAAATTCAAAGGAGGACCAGAATAATGAAGAAGAAGAGATTAATATAGAATCATGTGATTCTAACAACTCGAACAGTTTAAACAATAAGGATAAAGCTGCGGCTAATGAATCAAATCAAAGTGCTTCAAAAAGTGTTAAATACAAAGATGTAAACAAGAAAATAGATAAATTTATAGCGAAACATTTTAAACGAATGTTCTGTAACCTATGCAACATGCCATTTGAAAGCTTTACCTCCATGAAGCAACACTATCTAAAGGTACACAAACAAAGATGTTTTCTTGTTTGTTGCAATAAAAAGTTTTATGATAAATGTCGCTTTGTGGACCATTTACACACACATTTAAATCCCGATCATTTTAAGTGTCCACACTGTGACAAAGTTCTATCCAATCGAGAGAGTTTGGAAAAACATACGTTGCGTAAACATACAACAAAAGGTGTTAATCAAAAAAATCATAAAAAAGTTTCCAAACACCTGGGAAATAATTGCGATATAAATGAAGATAAAGTAAATAGGGATCCGTTAGCAAATAAGGATCCGTTAGAAATAACAAAAACTCCAACACAAAGAAATACAAAGGAACAGAATAATGAAGCAAACATGAATCCAGAGACTTATGATTCTTCTAATCTACCCAACTCGAACAGTAACAATAATATGTATAAAAACACCGCTTATAAACAACATACAAATGGCTTAAAAGCTATAAGTAAGAAGAATGAAAAATTTATAGCGGAAAACCTTAAACAAATTCTCTGTAGTCTCTGCAACATACCATTTAAAAAGTTCGGCAACTTAATGACACACTTCCAAAAGGTACACAAACAAAGTGGTTATATTGTATGTTGCAATAAAAAGTTCTTTGATAAACCACGCTTAGTCGACCATTTACACACACATTTAAATCCCGATCATTTTAAGTGTCCACACTGTGACAAAGTTCTAAGCGATCGAATGAATTTGGAAATACATATGCTGCACAAACATAGACCAGAAGGTGTTAAGTTAAAATATACATGTGAGACCTGTGGTAAGTCTTTTGCTAATACTACCTATTTGCGCAAACATAAAATGTGCCACTTGCCACAAGAGGAAAAGAAGTTTCGCTGCGCAAAATGTGGCAAACAGTAAGTTATTATTATTATTTCTTAAACATTTGAATAATAGCAAATAAATTATTTTAGTTATGCCGCTTCCTATCGTTTAAAAAAACACCGAGAAGAATGTATGGTTTATAGAAAAAAGTGTCATATTTGCGGCAACACATTTACTTCTAGTGGCGGTTATAAAACGCACATGAACAAACATGTCACACCGCCAACGATCATAAATTGTGATATTTGCGGTATACGTTTGGCCAGCAAACAAGGTCTACAATTACATAAAGAAACTTTACATCCAGTGGGTGGTAGACAAGATCATCCCTGTCCAGTGTGTCACAAAATGTTATCATCAAAAAGAGCTTTACGTCATCATAATGAAATAATGCATGGAAAAGGTTACGATTACAAATGCAACATTTGTGAAAAAGGCTTCAAGAGATTATTAGATTTAAAAGTAAATTAATTTTGTGGAGAGTCAAAGGACCTTATTTAATGATTTCTCTTCTTTGCAGGATCATTGTGTCATTCATACCGAAAATCCTAAATGTTCTTGGTGTCCGTTGACATTTAAATCACGTGTCAGTATGTATACTCACCGCAAAAAAATGCATCCCAAAGAATGGAAAGAATCAAAACTTGAAAAATATTCGGGAAACTTACCAACAGCATTGGCAAAAGTTATTAGTCCATAGAAAAGCTGTTATAAACTAAATTATTGTAGAAATAAAGTGTATTTACATTACGAGATTTTTAAAATTTATATTCGAAAGAATTTCATGAATTTAGGTTAAGAGGAAAAACTCCACTCAGAGACCATAAGTTCCATTGTGATTTCCTTTTGTTGAAGGTAATGTAGCAATGATAGAGAAACAAAAAGAACATGAATAGTCCAGAGAATCGAAAGCAGGTTGATTCGCTAAGGAAAGAAACGTAAGAGAATCTTACGCAACCTATGCAACCTATTTCCCAGCCATTTCTACATGAGATTCTGTATTCAAGAGCAGCGGTACATGGTTTTCTGTAGATAGATTTTGTTTTAATTTTTTTAAGCGGGTTTTAATCTCCTACTATCAACTTACAATTGGCCAAAAGTGTTTTTCTAGGACTTTTGTCCTATATTGAGCACTTGTCAATGTATGGAGTTTGTTTCTATGGAATCCTCCAAGTTTTTATTTAAGTCTCAACACAATAAACAGGAATCCATTAAAGATATGTAAACAAACACTCAAAGTAAATTAATAAAGTAGCGACATCTCTTGTTGTACAACAACATCTACAACAATTTAATTTACTTTGCAAACACTTTTATCTGAATATCTACATTATGCCCTAACATTTGGTTATCGAGTATTTTATAAAACTTATGTACAGTGGTTTGGAAACTTTTACTATTTGGAACAGAGATACAAGCCGATGCAAAATGATCGGCGGCGCAACCATTTTAGGTCGGCGGCGGCGGCTTATTATAGAAAATATCGGTGGCGGCTAAATTGTCAGCTCAATTTAAGTTTTTCTTCAGAAATTGAGCTTATAAGCGTTTATTATATTGAAAAATCTCTGTATAATAGTCCGTTATATAGAAACCTATCTCTAATAGTTTTTTCTGAAGAAAATGGACAGTTATAGTAGTTTTCACTCTTTTAATATTAGCACAATATTGTGTGGCAACATTTTTCAATTTGCCATAAGAATTTAAAATACTGGCAACTCTATTCAAATTGGTGAAATTATTTTCTGAAATACATGTGCGATTCCAATATTTATCAGCGGCTACGTTTAAGCCGGCTTAGCTTTTGAGCCGAAAGAAATCGGCGGCGACGCGGCTTGCAAAATATTACCGGCGGCCAGCCGCCGCCAATTTGAGCCGTCTCGGCTTGTATCTCTGATTTGGAATTTCGTGATCTATTGAAAATACTTGGTCTATTATGTCTCTTGTCGTACTAAGCGAATATCCATTTGTCATAACTAACTGACTAAAGGCCCAAATAGACTACACAAGCGGCTTATCAAACATACTTTTTTCATTCGCACACACATTACACAAACATTGCTCGTACAAACACCAATTTTTTCACGTTTTTGTGGACTTTCAAAGATACAGATGTCAATTTTTCTTAGAAATGTAATTTTTTCTAAATTTTGTTATTATTGAATATAAACTATACAAATGGTTTGACAAAAATTCAATATGTTTGTGTAAAAATCAAATTTTTTTAATTTTTGTACAAACAAACAGCAAGCATTTGTACAAACACGAAACACCCTTATACAGTACACAACAGGCTTGCACAAACGTAAAATATTGGTATGTTTGTCAAGCCGCTTGTGTAGTCTATTTGGGCCTTAACTAATATCAATTATTCCACTTTTTTCTTAACTTCACCTTGTTTATTAATTCGACTACCAAATACTCGACACTTTCACAACATTAACAAAAATTCAGATACAATTTTTTGTTTACTTTTTTCTAAATGTAAACAAATACAATGGATTCCTGTTTGTTGTGCTTGGAATTAAATAAAGATTTAGAGGATTTCATAGAAACAAATTCCACACAATGGCAAGAGCTCAATGTAACAAAAGTCCTGCAGAAACACTTTTGGCCAATGGTAAGAAAAAAGTTCCCACAACAAGTTAAAAAAACTTAAAATGGAAAATATGTACGTTTATCTCTAGAAATTAAGTGCCTGCTCCTGGATGTGTTCATCCTGTTGGAAGCAACTGGAGTCTTTTAACTTATTCTACACACGCATAGAAGAGGCTCATGCAAATTTTGGCAGTATTAAAATTGAAGGAAATCAATGGGAGCCAAAAGTTGAAGTATCAAATAATGAAAGTGGAGACTTTTCGTATGACGGTCTGGAAATGATCATAGATCAGAATACCATCTTTACAGATAATAAAGCTTTAGATCAAATAGAAAATAGTGATGTTATAAGTGAACATGTAGTACATGAGGATCCTTTAGTAAAATCAAATGCCACAAATACCAGAAATAGAAAAAAATTAAAAAATGCTGCTACAACAAAGTCAAAAAAATCCAAAGACCAGAATGTAAAAGAAACAAAAATTAAAAGAGAGCCGGAAAAAGATGCTTTTAATGGTGATGATTCTGATGGTATTAATGATAATGATGATGAAGATACCGATTCTGAACCAGACAAAAATTCCGAAATAGAAAATAACGACTGTGAACCACATAAAAATTCGTCAGAAATTAAAGGTAGAAATAAGAAAAATGATCAATTTATAGCGGAACACTTTAAAAAAATGTTTTGTGATCTTTGCGGCATACCATTTGAAAGCTTTCTCATCATGCAGAAACACTTTGAAACGGAACATAATCGAAAAGGTTATCTGGTGTGTTGCGATAAAAAATTCTTTCAACGCTATCGTTTAGTTGACCATTTACAAGTTCACTTCAATCCAGATCATTTTAAATGTAAGCACTGTGGTAAAGTTCTATCAAATTCAGATAATTTTCAAAAGCATATGCTGCGTCTACACCGGCCGAAAGGTGTTAATTTGACACATTGCTGTGAGATCTGTGGAAAGTCATTTATGAAAGCCTCATTATTGCGCTACCATAAATTGCAACATTTGCCTGAAGAGGAAAAGAAGTTTCCCTGTAAACAATGTGGAAAATTGTAAGCTTTAGCGTACATTTTTACAATTATGTAAATATTTGTATAAAGTATGATCATTTATTTTAGATATCCCTCTGCTAACCACTTAAATATACACACCGAGGCGGTACATTTAAAAAAATTCGTGAAAATATGTTATATTTGTGGTAAATCTATAGTTACAAGTGCCGAATACAAAATACATATGGACAAACACGAGGGCATACCGCCACCGTCTATAAGTTGTGATATCTGTGGTTTGCTATTGACCAGCGAAAGAGGTTTAAAACGTCACAAAGACAATCAACATCCAGTGGGCGGCAAACAAGATCATCCCTGTCCGGTGTGTCACAAAATATCACCAACAAGGAAGGCTTTACTGAAACATGTTAGTACGATGCATAAAAAAGGTTACGATCACAAATGCAACATTTGTGAAAAGGCTTTCAAGAGGGCAGAAGCATTACGGGTAATACAATAAATAGATGGGACAAATACAGATGTTTAAAGAGTTTTCTTTTCAGGAACATATGGCTTCACATACCGGAACACCCTTATATACGTGTACTTGGTGTCCCAAGACTTTTTATTCGAATGGCAATATGCATGCCCATCGCAAAAGAGTACATCGCAAAGAATGGGAAGAAGCAAAACTTCAAAAATATTCGGGAAAATTACCGATATTAAATTAATAAAAACAAAATTACAAAAAAACCGGATATTATAATAATTTATGAAAAATTAGGATGAATTTTATAAATGACGTAATAATGGATCGATCCGAAAAGTATAGCAGAATGATTTGTAAATATACAAAACATATTCGTGTAGAATTTTATCCCGATTCCATTGTTAATTCATGAGTCATTTACGATTAAGAGATTTTCGGAAGTGGATTTTATATGGGAGTTATGACCGATCCGCAAAGCTTTCACATGTTAATCTCTAGACGAATAACATCTCCATTCTTCTGAAAACTTATACGGACATACAAACAAACATAGATAAATCGACTCCGCTAACCTATAAAGACTCAGATTATATACAATTTATTGGGTCTTAAATGTATAAAGGGTATAATCACCTGAATTTTCCTCGGTGAATATAAATTTTCATAAAAAATCGCCAAAAACTAATTTTTATTACAAAAATGTTCTGGCAACTCCTAATACTGATTCTAACTAAACAAATCCGATTACCGATTATTCGTATACATATTTTTTTCTTGTTTACAAATTTTTGGAAAATGTTATTTTTAATAAATTTCTTAATAAAATAATGGAATCCTGTTTATTGTGTTTAGAAATAAATAAAGATATTTTGGACTCCATAAAGGCAAACTCATCACAATGGCAAGAGCTGGATATGGGAAAAGTGATAGAGAAACATTTTTGGCCAATGGTAAGTAAGTCGAAGGAGGTATAACTACTGCCAGTCTGTCTTCACAATAATAATGAAAAATTCCTTTTAGAACAATATACAAACAAATTCCTGGATATGTTTGTCCTGCTGGCAAGAGGTAAACGATTTTCACAAATTCTATATGCGTGTGGAAGAGGCTCATATGAATTTTGGAAAAATTAAAGTGGAGGATGTTGGTGTATTAACAACGGTGGAATGCAAAGAGGAATTAACAATACAAAAAACAAAAATAAAAACTACCACTGAAGAGGCGGATAAAGATAATATTGCATTTTGTTTCCTAGAACCAGAGATACTGATAGACCAACCTCAGCCACAGGATCTGGCGGAACCAGAAATACTTATAGATCCACCACCACCAGCGCCCGATTTGGAGGATAACAAAGAAACTGCAATAACACAGCCCTTAGATGAGCTGGACTTGGATGATATGCCCTTAAAACAGGCTTGTAAACGTTTAAGATTAGAAAATCAAATAACAAATAAAGATCCTCTAGAGAAATCTAAAAAATCGAAAGTTAACAACAAGTCCAAGAATAAAAAGAAAACTACTAAAGCCAAAGCTACTGCAGAGACAAAAACATCAGAAGAAACCCCAGCAGAAGAATCACAAGTGAAAGAAGAACCTCTAGATACAAATGATAATCATGATTCAGATAGCCTTAGTGATAATGACAACGATGCCGGCGATGCCAATTATCAGCCGGAAAAGGATTCTGCGGAAACTGTGGAAAGTAAAAGGCGCAAAGCTTACAGTAAACACCGCACAAATCGCAAAGAAAATGATCAATTTATAGCCGAACATTTTAAGCAAATGTTCTGTGATCTTTGCCAGGTACCGTTTGAAGACTTTCCCGCCATGCAGAAACATTTTACCGAAAATCACAAACAACGAGGCTATGTTGTTTGCTGTAAACGAAAGTTTTTCGATCGTACCCGTTTGGTCGATCATCTTCATTGTCACTTAAATCCCGATCATTTTAAGTGCAATGAATGCGGCAAAGCCATGTCTGATCGCATCAGTTTTGACAGTCACATGTTGCGTGTGCACCGAGCCAGTGAGGTGGTTAAGCAACATTGCTGTGATGTATGCGGTAAATCTTTTACGGAAGCTTATGTCCTTAGGATACATAAATTAACTCATTTGCCGGAAGAGGAAAAGAAATTTCCCTGCAGTGATTGTGGCAAAAAGTACTCCTTCTTAAGAAATTCTCAAATTTTTCTTAACCATTTTTTCATTACATTTTAGTTATGGCAGTCCTTATCTATTGAATCAACATCGACAAGCGGTACATCTTAAACGTTTCGTTAAAATTTGCTATATATGCGGCAAAGCTATTAACTCCAGTGCTGAATTTAAAATACACATGAATAAGCATGAAGGCATACCCGCTCCCGTTATAAATTGTGACGTATGTGGCTTACGTCTAACTAGTGAACGTGGTCTAAAGCTGCACAAAGAATCCCAACATCCAATAGGGGGGAAACAGGAACATCACTGCCCTATTTGTCCAAAAATATCACCCACCCTAAAGGCACTTAAAAAGCATATAAATACTATGCACGAAAAGGGCTACGATCACAAGTGCAGTATTTGTGAAAAAGCTTTCAAAAGATCTGAAGCTTTGAAGGTAAGGTCAAAATAAATTACAGAAGATTGTCTAGTCTATTATATTGTTTATTCGAAAGTCTTGTCTAAAGTCTAGTCTATTATGCAGACTGTAGTTTATTCTATAATCTAGTCTATAATTGAACTCTCAATAATTCTCCTTATAGGAACATATGGCCACACATACTGGCACTACTTTATACACTTGCCCCTGGTGTCCGAAAACCTTTAATTCCAATGGCAATATGCACGCTCATCGCAAGAAGATACATCCAAAAGAATGGGAAGAAACAAAACTGTTAAAATATTCGGGAAATATACCACCAGAAATTTAAAAATCATGCAAAATAAATCACAATAAGTGATTCAATATAATTTATTTAATTTAGTTTAGTTTAACGTTTATTTAAGTCTCAAAATATATTTTTTAATATAAATTAATTTAAAATTGATCATTATGTAAGTAGTAACTACTTTTTTTAAATAATTTAATAAAAGTATACATATATAGATCTTGGACAGATTTAACTAAATAAGTACGTGCTTCATTTATATGTGTTTCAAATCATATAAATTACAGATTTATTTTTCCGTTTTTAAAAAATTGCCCACTGTTTAGTAGGGTTCTATAGTTGAAACGAAAAGTCGACTTTTCGACTTTTCGACTTTTTGCATTTAGTTAAAAGTCGACTTTTCGACCTTTCGACTTTTTCCATTTTATGAAAAGTCGATTTTTCGACTTTTCGACCTTTTTCATTTATTTAAAAGTCGACTTTTAGACTTTTCGACTTTTAGTATTTTTTTCGACTTTTCGACTTTTTTCGACTTTTCGACTTTTTTCGACTTTCGACCTTTTTCGACTTTTTCCGACTTTTTTCAACTTTTCGACTTTTTCCGACTTTTCGACTTTTCGATTTTTTACGACTTTTTGACTATTTTCGACTTATTTCGACTTTTTTTCGACTTTTTTCGACTATTTTTTACTTTTTTCGAGTTTTTCCGACCATTTTAGAGTTTTTGACCTCTTTTCCACTTTTTTAAAATTTTCGACTATTTTCGACTTTTCGACTTTTTTTCGACTTTTTCCGACTTTTCGACTTTTTCCGACTTTTTTCGACTTTTCGACTTTCTTCGACTTATCGACTTTTTTCGACTTTTCGACTTTTTTCGACTTTCCGACTTTTCGACTTTTTTCGACTTTTATTTACAAAGTCGACTTTTCGACTTTTTTCATAGACGATAGTCGAGTTATCGACTTTTTTGGAACAAAATAGTCGACTTCGACTTTTCGACTTTTTTCGACAAAAAGTCGATTGTTCGATTATTCGAAAGTCGATTTATAGAACCCTACTGTTTAGCGTAGGATTTTTAACAAAAATCTTTCTGGCAGCACTAACTGTTGTACATAAACGAATCAATAAATATGGCAACACACTTCCCATTATTTTGCGCAGTGCATTTACAATATTTTTTTTACTCCGGGAATTTACGGAAATGTTTGTTTGAAATTGAAATTCCAATATAGATAAATAGAATTATAGGAAACAATATGAATTTATCGCCAGATACACGTTTAGCACCGCCGCAAGGCTTAAGAAATGGCTGTGGTCCGCACACTTCTCCCACGAAAAGCTTTGGTGGTAATAACTCTGCAACCGGCAAATCAATTGGTGCAAAAAACAATACAAAACCCTATAGCAACAGGAACAACAACAATAATTATGCATTTCATGTTGATCACAGCCAAATGCAGCAGCAGCATGACCACCACAACACCCAAATACAAGAGATGTTTGAAAAATGTTTTCTATATCAGAAATATGCAACAGCAAACGACTGGTGTCTACCATCAGCCCAAGAGCTCTTCAAGGAATATTATCAATTGGAATCTTTACAAGAGTTAAAAATCAAATTGAATCTAGTGAAGAGCAAACTGAATGATTATGTTATTGAGGATTGGTCATTGCATACACGACGTCAGGATCCTGCTGGCGAGATACCTTGGCGTTTAAAAACGGAAACAAATGCTGAATTTGTAACAATTGCCTGGTGTAAAATGTATGAATGTTTGGGAAGATTTCCGGAATTGGTTAAGGGGCCACAGGTAAATTCGTTGCATTTGTGTGAAGCTCCCGGAGCGTTTATAACAGCCTTGAATCATTATTTGTATACGAATTACGATAAGAATGAGGTAAGTTGTGTGGGATTTTATCTTTATATTGGATCATCCATTATTTACAGATTAGAAATTTTAACAAATTTCGTAATTTATCTTCCGACTACTAGACTAAAGTCTGATCTATAGTCTCTTCTAAACTCTGTAGACTATAGTCAAGTCTATAGTCGGGTCCATACTCTAGACTATAGTCTAGTCTATAGTCTAGTCTATAGTCTAGTCTATAGTCTAGTCTATAGTCTAGTCTATAGTCTAGTCTATAGTCTAGTCTATAGTCTAGTCTATAGTCTAGTCTATAGTCTAGTCTATAGTCTAGTCTATAGTCTAGTCTATAGTCTAGTCTATAGTCTAGTCTTAGTCTAGTCTATAGTCTAGTCTATAGTCTAGTCTATAGTCTAGTCTATAGTCTAGTCTATAGTCTAGTCTATAGTCTAGTCTATAGTCTAGTCTATAGTCTAGTCTATAGTCTAGTCTATAGTCTAGTCTATAGTCTAGTCTATAATCTAGTCTATAGTCTAGTCTAGTCTATAGTCTAGTCTATAGTCTAGTCTATAATCTAGTCTATAGTCTATTCTATAGTCTAGTCTATAGTCTAGTCTATAGTCTAGTCTAGTCTATAGTCTCGTCTAGTCTATAGTCTCGTCTAGTCTATAGTCTAGTCCATAATCTAGTCTATAGTCTAGTCTAGTCTTAGTATAGCCTAGTCTACATTATAGTCTATAGTCTAGTCTTTAGTCTAGTCTATAGTATATTCTATAATCTAGTCTATAGTCTGGACTATAGTATAAAGCCTAGTCTAACTAAGATACAGTCTAGTGTGGTCTACTCTTTCCTATTTGTTTATATTTTTTTATTAATTTCTCACAGGTGCAATGGAAATGGTTAGCGACCACCTTAAATCCTTACTATGAAGGTAATCCTCTCAATCGCATGATTATGGATGATCGTTTTCTTCTATATACACTCGATAATTGGCTATTTCACAAGGATTTCACTGGCAACATAATCGATACGGATAACTTGCAGCATATGCAGCAAGAATGTGCAAAACGTTTAGGTGATGTCCACCTTATAACGGCTGATGGTTCTGTCGATTGTATAGAGTCTCCAGATTGTCAAGAGGAAAAAGTAGCTCTATTACATTATGCCGAAATAATTACCGCCTTAACGATACTGGCTGAGGGTGGTTCGTTCGTCATTAAAATGTTTACCCTGTACGAAGCATCATCGGTTAGTAAACTATTCTTATTGAATTGTGCCTTTGAAAAAGTACATGTATTTAAGCCTTGTACCTCTAAGCGTGGCAATTCCGAGGTCTATGTTATTTGTTTAAATTATAAGAAGGAAGCAAAACATTTGCCTGAAATTATAGAGAAAATGAAATTGAAATTGACACCTCAAAATGCCTTACTATGGCCATTGTTTTCTAAATCTGCTCTACCACTGGATTTTCTAAGACAACATGAAATATGCTGTCGCATATTTATGAATCATCAGATTAATGCCATAGAGCAGAACATTTACAGTTATGAGATACGACCACATAAAATGATTGTCAAACGTTTACAAAATCTAAGAACAGCCACTTGCAATGAGTTCTATCAACGTTATAATATACAAAAACTTCCCGATGAATTGAAAATTCTTTATAAATATCAAAAGTATATTGAGAAAAGTTATAAAAATCAAATCTATAAAGGCTCACACTCCGAAAGGGAAATGTTTAAGGAAACCTCAAAGGAAGAGCATATTTTTAAATTTCGTAAACATTTAAATGAGCTGGAGAAAATGTTAAAAGAACATTTGAATTCTAATGAAATAAAATATAAATTTGAACAATTCGAGGAGATGGAAGAATCTCAAGTTAAGTTATCGCTCTACCGGGGACAGGGTGTAAGGGTATTAAATAGCAGTCTTTTTGCCAATGTTCATTTATTGATAATGCGCTCAAAACTAAATGATTTATATAGTGAGACTTCATGTGATAGTTTGTGGTTGCAAGAGCCGCGCGCAACTTATATTTGTGATGAAACAGTGGTAGCAATCAATTTTAATGATTTTGCCAACACTAGTGGCAATTTTGCCCTACAACAGGAACAATTTTTCAAAAAACTCATCTCCTCACTATTGGAAGCAAAACCCAATGAAATAAAATTCATAAATATGCCATTTTTAACCCATTACGCCGTCTCCATTTTACGCTATTTATCAACTTTATCATATAAACATTTGTCATTTGCATTTGAGACAGATTTTGAAATTTCACTGTCATCTAGCTGTGGTGATTTTACCAATAGTTTGGAAGAACTAAAAGTGGCCTTGTCCAGTAGTTTAGATCAAGATATTTTATGTTTTATAAACATATTACAATTGCATCGCAATGATTTTAATAAAACATTGTGTGCTTTCAATAATATGTTGTTATTGAAAAACTTTAAATATTTGTTACACAATTAAATTGAGGAATTTTTTCATATTTTAAAAATCTCCTTAATGATGATTGATTGTGAAGCGAAGTATTAGAAATAAATTACTAAGAAATAATAGTACATTTTTTATTACATTGTATGTATTCAATATCTAAACCAATTTAATGTATGGATTATAAATCTTTAAGAAAAATAAACATGAATTTTTTTAAATGACTTTTTTTTTCCATTTTAACGTAATTATTTAACATTTTCATATCGCAACACTTTTGCAATATTTTCTGAGAAAGGGATAAAATCTTCAATGAACTAGTTCATTGACAAATTCGTTTACTAGATCATAGATCAGTCAATGAGGTGATCATAGAATATTCAATATTATACTGCAAAGATATAGCTTGTAGACGTCTATACAGGATGCACTATGTTACTGCACCAGGTATGGAAAATTATATCCATAATAGTACTTTTAGTCTATAATCTAGTCTAGTCTCTAGTCTAGACTATAGTGAAGTCTATAGTCTAGTATATAGTCTAGTCAAAAGCCTAGTCTATAGTCTAGACTATAGCCAAGTCTAGTCTATTGCCTAGTATTCAGTCTAGTCTATAATCTAGTCTATAGTCAAGTCTATAGTCTAGTCTATTGTGTAGTATAGTCTATAGTCAACTCTAGTCTTTACTCTTGTCTACAATCTAGTCTAAAATCTAGTTTATAATCTTGTCTATAGGCTAGTCTATAGTCTAAGCTATTATCATGTCTAGCCTATTGCCTATTCTTTAGTCTAGTCTAGTCTATTGCCTAGTATTCTGTCTAGTCTAGTCTATAGTCGAGTCTATTGTGTAGTATAGTCTAGATTCAACTATAGTCTTTAGTCTTATCTACAATCTAGTATATCTATATATATAAAATTCTAACGTTACTGACTGACTGACTGACTGACTGACTGATTCACTGACTGATTCATCATCGCACAGCCTAAACGGTTGAAGCTAAAGAGCTGAAATTTGGACAGGAGGTTGGTCTCCCGCCAAATAGATCCACTAAGACGGGATTTTTGGAAATTCGAATGTTTAGGGGGTAAAAAAGGGTAAAAACGGGTAAATTCGGTAACCTTATATCTCCTAAACTAGAAAAGATACAAAAACAGTTTAAAGCTTATCGCCGTTCATTTAAAAAATAAACGGACAGGTGTCTGGTACTTTTTTAAAATTCGGCCCCTTTAGGGAATAAACGGGTAAAAACTGTATTTTGGTACTTTTTTCGCACCCCATGTATCTTTTAAACCAGTGCACATTCAAAAAATATTTTTGACTCCTTCATAACTTAACGAAAAAATAAAAATATGAATTTAGTACTTTTTGGATATTCGGACGTTTAAGGGGTTAAAATTGTACCTATTTTTGGTACTTTTTTCATAAAACATTGTTTTTGGTTTATTAACTTATACATATGAATACATAATAACGGGCTCCCACTACGATGTTGCAACTTTTTGGAATAGAATTTTTATTTCGTTAATGGGGAGGAAAAAAGTACCAAAAGGGGGTAAAAATGGAAAATTTGATTTTATTCAACCAAAATGATCGAATTTAGATAAAATTTTTAAATTTAAAAACACTACATATCCTAATGGGGTGTTATTTGGAACCCCGGTACCAAGTGATATTTTTTGGTACTTTTCATTCTCCAACTGGTCCTTTTTGAGTTTTCTAAGATATTGAAATAGAAACATGAAATTAATAATAAAGGGACTTTTCGCTACTTTTTCGTTCTACACAGGTACTTTTTTGAGTTTTCTTTAAAATTAAACGTAGAAACATGAAATTAAGCATGTAGAGCTCGGAGTAAATGAGAATCTATAAAATGGGACTTTTTGGTACTTTTTCGTTCTTCAAAAGGTACTTTTTGAATTTTCTATAATATTGAACCTAGAAACATGAAATTAAACATGTAGAGACCGGAGTAAATGAGAATCTATAAAAGGGGACTTTTTGGTACTTTTTCGTCCTTCGACTGGTACTTTTTGAGTTTTCTATAAAATTTAACCTAGAAACATGAAATTAAGCATGTAGAGCCCGGAGGTAAATGAGAATCTATAAAAGGGGACTTTTTGGTACTTTTTCGTCCTTCGACTGGTACTTTTTGAGTTTTCTATAAAATTTAACCTAGAAACATGAAATTAAGCATGCGGAGGCCTTAGTTAATGAGAATCTATAAAAGGGGACTTTTTGGTACTTTTTCGTCTTTCGACTGGTACTTTTTGAGTTTTCTATAAAATTTAACCTAGAAACATGAAATTAAGCATGTAGAGCCCTTAGTAAATGAGAATCTATAAAAGGGGACTTTTTGGTACTTTTTCGTCCTTCGACTGGTACTTTTTGAGTTTTCTATAAAATTTAACCTAGAAACATGAAATTAAGCATGTAGAGCCCTTAGTAAATGAGAATCTATAAAAGGGGACTTTTTGGTACTTTTTCGTCTTTCGACTGATACTTTTTGAGTTTTCTATAAAATTTAACCTAGAAACATGAAATTAAGCATGTAGAGCCCGGAGTAAATGAGAATCTATAAAAGGGGACTTTTTGGAACTTTTTCGTCTTTCGGCTGGTACTTTTTGAGTTTTCTATAAAATTTAACCTAGAAACATGAAATTAAGCATGCGGAGGCCTTAGTTAATGAGAATCTATAAAAGGGGACTTTTTGGTACTTTTTCGTCTTTCGACTGGTACTTTTTGTGTTTTCTATAAAATTTAACCTAGAAACATAAAATTAAGCATGTAGAGCCCTTATTAAATGAGAATCTATAAAGGGGGACTATTTGGTACTTTTTCGTCTTTCGACTGGTACTTTTTGAGTTTTCTATAAAATTTAACCTAGAAACATGAAATTAAGCATGTAGAGCCCTTAGTAAATGAGAATCTATAAAAGGGGACTTTTTGGTACTTTTTCGTCCTTCGACTGGTACTTTTTGAGTTTTCTATAAAATTTAACCTAGAAACATGAAATTAAGCATGTAGAGCCCTTAGTAAATGAGAATCTATAAAAGGGGACTTTTTGGTACTTTTTCATCTTTCGACTGGTACTTTTTGAGTTTTCTATAAAATTTAACCTAGAAACATGAAATTAAGCATGTAGAGCTCGGAGTAAATGAGAATCTATAAAAGGGGACTTTTTGGAACTTTTTTCGTCTTTCGACTGGTACTTTTTGAGTTTTCTATAAAATTTAACCTAGAAACATGAATTTAAGCATGTAGAGCCCAGAGTGAATGAAAATCTATAATAGGGGACTTTTTTGGTACTTTTTTCGTCCTTCGACTGGTACTTTTTGAGTTTTCTATCAAATTAAACCTAGAAACATGAAATTAAGCATGCAGAGCCCTTAGTTAATGAGAATATATAAGGGGACTTTTTGGTACTTTTTCGTTCTTCGACTGGTACTTTTTGATTTTTCTATAAAATTGAACCTAAAAACATGAAATTAAGCATATAGAGCCCGGAGTAAATTGGAAACTATAAAAGAGGACCTTTTTGGTACTTTTTTGTTCTTCGATTGGTACTTTTTGATTTTTCTATAAAATTGAACATAGAAACATGAAATTAAGCATGTAGAGCCCGGAGTAAATAAGAATCTATAAAAGGAGACTTTTTTGTACTTTTTCATTCTTCGACTGGTACTTTTTTTCAGTTTTTATAAAATTTAACCTAGAAACATAAAATTAAGCATGTAGAGCCTGGAGTAAATTAGAATCTATAAAAGGGGACTTTTTGGTACTTTATCGTACTTCGACTGATACTTTTTGAGTTTTCCATAAAATTAAACCTAGAAACATGAAATTAAGCATGCAGAGGCCTTAGTTAATGAGAATCTATAAAAGTGAACTTTTTGGCACTTTTTCGTCCTTCGATTGGTACTTTTTGAGTTTTCTATAAAATTCAACCTAAAAACATGAAATTAAGCATATAGAGCACGGCGTAAATGAGAATCTATAAAAGTGGACTTTTAAGTACTTAAAATTGAGTACACATATACAATCATCATTTCTTTAAATTAGGGAATTACCAATATTTAAAAATTTGTAATCTTTGTAAAACATATTATTTTTTCCTTGCTAAATGAAGAGCCAACATATTTCTCATTCTATAAAAACCCTCGCTAACAAAGTAGCGGGTAATAAGCTAGTAGTCTATAATCTAGTTTATAGTTTAGTCTATAATATGTCTATAGTCTAGTCTATATTCAAGTCTATAGTCTGTTCTATAGTCTTAACTATAGTCATGTCTAGTCTTTAGTCTAGTCTACTGCCTAGTCTTTAGTCTAGTCTATATTCTAGTCTATTGCCTAGTCTATAGTCTAGTCTATAATCTAGTCTATAGTCTAGTCGATTATCTAGTCTATAACCAAGTCTGTAGTCTAGTCTATAGTCCAATCTGTAGTCTAGTCTATAATCTAGTCTATAGTCTAGTATATAATCTAGTCTATAGTCAAGTCTATAGTCTAGTCTATAGTCTAAACTATAGTTAAGTCTATTGTAGAGTATAGTCTAGAGTCAACTCTAGTCTTTAGTCTAGTCTACAATCTAGTCTATAATCTATTAGTGTTGTCTATAATCTAGTCTATAGTCTAATCTATAGTCAAATCTATAGTCTAGTCTACACTATAGACTAGACTAGTCTATAGTGATTCTTATTCTGTCTAGTTTGCTGTGTTATCTCTTTATTAAGTCTTGCCACAAACCTAACCTTCAAAATTAATATCTTGTAAATAAAAATTGATTTCCAAGGCAACAATAATTATAGGTTTCCAAGTCTTAAGGCGTAAAAATATTTATTTTTAGTTAGTCTAGTTACAAACCTAACCATCAAATATATTACATTTTCTAAATACAAATCAATTTTCAAGACAACTGCGTGTGGAAATCATGACTAACAAAATGTTTACTTTTGGAAACAGTTGTTTATAAACTATTTTGTATATATTATATAGTTTATAGCATTTTTTCACAAACAAAATCCTCTTCACTCCTCTTGTTAATCATACTATTTAGCCATGACACAAACCTAACCTTCAAAAATTCAAAAACACTGTGCAAATTTTGTTTATCGGCAGGCGAATGCAGAAAAATAAATAAATCAATTAAATGAAATACACAATTTTATTTAAAACTTTTTTTTTCAATTTCAGTAGTGTATATTTAAATACAATTATTAGTTGT